GTCTGGGACTTTTTAATACCAGGAAAGATCAGTCAGTCTATAATTGGGTGTAATTAACACTCACACATAGCCCAGCATTCTTTAACTTCACATCACCTGACACTTACACCCATGGAAATTAGTTCTTTCCTGCCTTTCAAATGAATAAACAGCTTGCTAAGAAGCTCCTACTTAATCACTGAGAAGGTGCACAAACACAACCAGTACCAGAGGAAGACTTTCATCCTAAATTATCCACTCACATAGGCCTCTCTTTTTTTGTATAAAGCGAGCCTTCTACAGAGGTGCAGAGTGTTGAGAGAAGACAGACAAGGTCTTCTCCCCTCTCCTGGTTCCCCCATGCACCTCTCCAGTCAGTCCTGGGAGGAAGCTTCATATCCATCTCCCCTGCTCGATCAGGTTGATTAACAGTGTTGGGAATTATAGAGGTAACCCCGCTTTCCGCACAGTTTGAGCCTTCTCTGAGGTCTCTTCTGCAAACGCATTCTGCCTCACTTGGGAAGATATGGACAATTTGCTTGACATCGCTGGAATAAAGTCTGAGAAACCCTGGAGTCATGCAGCATCTGAATATATGGCATGGAACCACATCCATTCTAAGATAGTTATATATAATGTTCAGAAAGGTGATCAGGCATGTGATTGAATGAGTCAAGTCATTACTAATAGGTCATTATGGGCTCCTCCCTGTCTCCTCACATGAACCAATCCAAGCTTGGTAGTTATCGTGAAATACTTTCTTGGTTTGGGCAAAATATTGCAAGTGTTTTTTGCTTAGTAGGACACAGCCAGCCTTCCATATGAAGAGGCACAAAAGCCTAACCCAGAACGCAGCAATACAGCTTTATCTGCCGGGAGACACTGTATGTCAGCAACACTCTCACAACACAACCTGAGCATTTCCTATGCAAGTTCTGTGTAAATGATTAAGAAGGGTAGAGAAGTACACCACAGCTCTTGCAAAGCACCCCAGCTTTGTCCAAGGGAAGTTTCTAAAGGATTGCTTCCTGGTTCTCTAAACATCTGTTTAACTTTTAACATAACATTTTCTGGCAGTTCCCCTGCTGTAATTATGAGGAAACTACATTATATTATTATAAATAATACAGAACACTTAGCAAGTAAAGTGCTTAATAATACCTATGCAAAGCAGATAAAAATGATCTCTCATTACACAAAATTCTACCTGTTCAAAATCTGTTGCCAATTTTTGCCAGGATGATCTTCCACATCTTGCTGGAAACAAACAAATTAGTATACAGCTACTTATTAAGATCTCCTATGTTTTCACCTGCTTTGTTTCAGACAGTTCAGTTAGGTCAACAGGGGGAGGGAAAACTCAGGTTTCCAGTCCTTTAGAAGAACAAAGCAACAAACATACCTTGCGTGGTATTTTTCTTCTCTCCATTTGTTTGGAAACTGCAACTGGATAAAACAGATAGTAGGAGGAAAATCCCATTAAAAATTATGTGAATCTAAACTATCCATCCACTCAAACCAGTTCCTAAGATCTTGCTACACTCTGTTGTGGTAAAGAGAACCCAAGAAGAGTGTGTTAGCAGATGAGGAAGCAGAGCTAGACAAAGGTGGTTACTTTTCTCTCTTTTCTGGAAAAGCAAAGGACTCCCAATGGGATGCTGCTGTGGTGAGGACAAAAATCAAAAATCTGTATTCTGTCCATGACACTTGGGAACGCAGTCATTCCTGACAAGGACGCTGCTAGATGGGGGAATGTGCAGGGCACACAGCAATGCTCTTCACCCCCAAAGGACTCAGACCTGCTTCCGTATATGCACCAGCCAGGCAGCATGACGACTGTCATTTTACATAATGAGCCACTTGGTTTTCAGAAAGCACCAGGCCCTCTGCAGCATGCACAAAAGAACTACAGATGCTTCAAGAAGTACTTAAAAATATATATTCTTTTACGTTATCAGGACCAAGGCAGCGTAGCACGTAAAGCTATACAATGCCTGTTGTATTTATTTGACCATATTTACATAAGGGAGACTTTCAGGCCTGCTTTCAGAGGAGGAACTAAGGCAGAGATACAGTGATTAACTTGCCAAAGCCACCTCCATGTGAAGCATTTATCTTAATTCCATCAAGAGTTGACAGCTTGGTGGAAAAAGAAAATTAAACAGCACTCCTATCAATACAAGCTGTGGCCCTGCTAGCAAGTTTTGCTTCCGCTTGGCACAGAAGCCTTAAATCTATTATGTTTCTGTAATGCTTCAATTCCAACAACGGTGACAATGAAAAAGTAGGCAGATTTTTGTGTGTTTTTTAATTCCCAAAACTTTTACTTGTGGAAACTGTAAGTCAGGCTGCTTCTCTACTAAAAGTCTGCAAAGCAGCTCACCCCCCCAAAAAGAAAAACATCAAGACAACACAATGCTAAATAAAGCAAGAAGCAGCAACAGAACAAGTAAAACAACCAAGTGAGCAGAAAATGAAATAAAAGCAGAATCAGTAAACTCTCTTCAAGTCAATCTGTAAAAAAAACCCCTAGCAAATTGTAAGCCTTGACACCTAGATTAAACACAGACGTCTTTTGCAGTTGTCTAGGCAGGGCTTTCCATAATTAGGGGACTTCTAACTGCTCAATTAGGACCACGGTGGCTCAGAGGTTAAGACACTGAGTTGCAGATTGGAAGATCGGTAGGCCAGCAGTTCGAGACCCTAGTGCTGCGGGACAGAGTGAGCTCCCCTCTCTGGCCCCAGCTCCTGCCAACCTAGCAGTTCAAAAGCAAGAATTTGCAAGTAGATAAATAGGTACCGCTTCAGTGGGAAGGTAACAGTGTTCCGTGCGCCTCGGCGTTTAGTCATGCCAGCCACATGACCACAGAGAAGTCTTTGGACAATGCTGGCTCTTCAGCTTGGAAATGGAGATGAGCACCACCCCCTAGAGTCGGATTCAACTAGCTTTCGAGCAACGGAAAACCTTTCCCTTTTACCTTTAACTGCTCAATACCAGGTGGCAGGGGGAGAAACCAGCTGAAGAGCCTCTGCTGCACTGACCTGAATGCAATAACAGCCCACTAGTAGCTACTAAGCCTCTTGGTTTTCTGTCTTTTTGAGACTACAAATGAGGGAGGCATCATAAAGTTCTTGAAAAGCCTCGATATGTGACCTACTATTAAACACTTTTCTGCTCTAAGGAGGAAGTTGGGGATAGCCAAGAGGTTTCACAAAAGCTCTCCCCTTCTTTGCTGCCTGGTTGTGGTGACCATCACATTCCTACCACTGTTTAGCACCCTCCTTTTTGTTAACATCATGCTAATGTTTGGCTTCAGTGATCATTATACAGCCATATCCAACTGAATAAAAGCCATGTTTCTGTCCTTCACTTACCCCCTCAGTTTCAGCCCATCCTTCACTTCTTACGCGTCGTTTTCTGTAATTCTCTCTCATATATCTTTCCTTTTCAGTTTTAAATTCCCAAATGATGCTGGATCGTATGAAAAATTGCCTCTGAAAAGTAGGGGGCCGAGGAAAGAGATCTTGAGAATTTTTATTTTACATTTGAATATGAGATGGTGAATGTTGAGCTTATCACCATATCTCACTATTTTGAGTCTGGTTATTTGCATTCCAGCCCAAGACACAATAAATATCATAGATCAGAGTGGTCTCTCGCATCGTCTCAGTAACAGTCACCCATGTCATTATCAGTTAAAAATAATCTTTTATTTAAAGCCTGGGAAAGCCAGGAATATTGAGAAACGACAGCTACAAATTCCAAATAAAAATTGTATCAGAAAGCAGTATAGAGGCCCTGTTTATATGAGCCCATTTGGGCCGGGAGCAGGACGGAACGGGGGCAGAGCAAATGGCCGCGATCCCACCTCAACATCTGGGGAGCGTGCCGTCTCCGTCCCTGATCCGGCCCAAATGGTGATACCCCGCTGCTAAAACGAACCACCTATCTAGGTGGTTGCAACGCTCTGGAGCGCCCCAAGCCGGCCGTGGGATCGGCGGCGCGTCCTTGCGCCGCCGCATCCCGGCCCCCGGCCGTACTGCGCATGCTCGGGCATGCGCAGTTCGGCAGCCTCCCCCTCCCATTGGGCTCGTCCTCCCCGGTGTCTGCTCTTGCCGGGGAGAAGAGGCGCCGCGGCCAGGGGATCCGTGGGATCCCGCCGCAGCGTCTCAACGTTGGAGCAGCTCTATTTAGCCACGCTTTGCCTCGTGGTTTCCCTGCCGTGTGGCAGGGGCCAAAGAAGAGCAAGACCTGTTCTATCACAGTACTTGAGAAATGTCAGTCATAACAATGATGCCTTCTTGATTTCATCTGTTTTGCCAACCGCCACCCAATATAGTCTGGAAGTAAACAAGGTCAGTTGAGAATGACCTCCTTTCAGAAACCCTAGAAGGACAGGATGAGGCCTAGTGTTAAGAGTAGTTGGGAAGCCAGTTCTCTTGCTGAACCTGTTCCATGGACTTGCTCTCTAAGGCTCTCAGGAAGGTGTTTTCCACCACACAGAAGCCACTTCAGTACTTCAAAGCCAATTATTGCCACAACCTTTTTTTGTGGTCCAACTATTTTCCTATAGGGACCACAAGTTGTATACAGCATGCGGCTGGAATTTGGAAGCAAGGTAATCATAAGCCACAGCATTTCCATATATGGAAAGGAAAGATTAACCTCAGTTGGGAACACCTATCTTTTTATAGTCTGCTTCACATGAGCCTTTTGTCTATACCAGCAGGAAGATGTTATTACAAGATGAACTAGTTCCAAGTGGAAAACCTCATTGGGTAAGAACGGGGTAAGACTTAACAGACAAGCAGACCTTCTCAGCAACAGACAGGATTGGTAGTTTCAAGAACAGGAGCGTCTGATTCATACTGCACTGATGCAGGAAAAACAATTTACAGCAAAACTTAGTGCTGATTCTTAAAATCTACCAGTATTGTGGACTTCACATACCACTACTGAAAGTGACCATACTATACCTGTGTGATCCTGGTAATTTCTAATAAGGCAAGTCCAGGAAAAACAGAATAGAGATAAGCAGAAGAGTATTAAAAAAAAAACTTTATTGATGCATAATCCACAATGACAAAGATTAGGTATTCCTTCAGGGAAAACATGGGAATGGTCATAAATTTGTGGTGTAAGGTATCAGTCACAAGATGTTAAGAGTTTCATGGAAACCTTGGGGACAGAAATCTAAACTTCCAGAATTTGAGGCATAGATATAGAGACAATACTCTCCTCTCTTAACATAAGCACCAGCTGAGGAAAGGGAAGTGAGCCAAGAGTCTCCCAGCATTTATTTGTAGAGATTAGCTTTCCCAATGGTTTTCAAGGACTGGAAAAGAAAACCAACCAACTGCTTTCCAATGGGGTGGGGGGGAAATGTAGTCCAAAGATATGTGAAGGATCCTTCCCATCTCCGGCAGGTGCATCAGGATGGAAATAGTATCACCTTTTCTTGAATCCATACTTCTTGCGCTCATAGAAGAGATCTGTTTTTGAGCTACCTAGGTTGACAATCTTGGGGCAGCCATCCCGCTGTGAAGGAACACAAAAGAGATATGGGTTATGACTGGATCATACCAACCTAATGGGCTGATCACGTGGACTACAAAACTCACAACTCACTCACTCTGACTACAACGCTGACATCACAACTCAAATTGGGGGTATAAAAGAGTATGCAAGCCACCAAAAAACCCTGTACAAATAAAGTATTAGACAACAAACTGAAGCAAGATAGACTATAAAGTCAAAATTAACTTCTAGAGCTTTTGGGGCTCCACCATTGAGACAGCAGCCCGAAGAAGTCAGAGGAAACGGACAGCAACCTAGGCAATCCATAGCCACTGAATTTGTGACTGTGTTTAGAGACAAAGAGGGAGTGGTTAATAACTTCTGTGACAAAAGACTATAAAAGAAAATACGAATTCATTTCAAGGACACAGTTTGTTGTCTAATACTTTATTTGTACAGGGTTTTTTTGGTGGTTTGCATACTTGCATATGCTGTACATCCACTGGTCTAAAAGAGTAGGCTGTGACCCAAGTAAAGAAATCTCAGTTGGTTGTCCAACTGATTACTCTGCATATGAATCAAACAACACTAATGAAGAAAAAACACATACACTTTACTTAAGAACATAACAGCCCTGATGGATCAGACCAACTAGTTCAGCATCCTGTTTCACACACTGGCTAACCAGTTCCTCTGGAGGGCACAGAGGCTGAGACCTCCTCCCTGATGATGTTGCCTCCTGGCACTGGGATTCAGAGGCATTTAGTGCCTTTGAATGTGGAGGTTCCCCTTAGTCACCATGGCTAGTAGCCATGATAAACGTATCCTCCATGAATCTATCTAATCCCCTTTTAAAGCTGTTTATTTCTGTGGCCATCACTACATCCTCTGGCAACAAATTCCAAATTTTAATCACTCTCCATGTTAAGAAGTATTGTCCATTCTGAACCTACAGCCCATCAATTTCATTGGATGCCCTTGAGTTCTACTATTTTGGGAGAGGGAGAACAATTTCTCTTTGTGAGCTCTCTCCACCCCATGCACAATTTTATAAACCTCTATCATGTCCCCCCGTCCCGTCCCCCCCGTCATCTCTTTTCTCAATCTTAGAGGCCCAGGCCACAGACTCTTCAGCCTTGCCTCATAGGGAAGGCACTCCAAACCCTACTTGCTTTTAGCTGATGCGGAAGTATGCTGCAGCAGGCATCCCCAGGAACAGCACACAAGTTTAGCCTCCATCTCAATAGTGTCCTTATATTTATACCCCGCCCTGAGCCTGCTTGCGGGATGGGCGGGGTATAAATATAATAAATAAATAAATAAATGTGTGATAAACAAGAGGGAGAAAGCTTCTTCTAAGACAGGGGCCCCCAACCTTCTGGCACATGGGGGCCACATTAGACTGCCCAATCTCTAAAGAGGGCCACATCTTAAATCACAATGTAACAAAAGTATTAACCTACCTATTTAGATCAAAAGTAAACTTTCAGAGGTCAATGAAGAAATGTTAACTTGAATGCAATCCATTTTAGAACAATATTTTACTGTGGAATCCTTTTATCTAGCTATACATGCTTACCTAGTCAGTGTGATTTCTGTGGCTGTTCTCTATTAGCCAAGGCATTACTGTCCAAGTCAAGGTTTGTGACAAAATTTCTGTAAGTCTTAACCTACACTTGGATTTCACAGTTTTCATCTTGGAAAACGTTTGTTCACAGATGTATGTGGTGCCAAAGACCGTGAATATGCCTACAGCAGATTTCCTTAGGTTGATAAATATATCAGGTAGACCAGAACAGAAATCTAACAGAGTATTTTCTTCATAAATTTCTCTGAGATGATCACTGGCTTGCAAATCAATTAGTTCCATCTGAAAAAAGTTACTTGCATCTTCTGGTGCTAATTCAAACGGATTCTGAAATATTCTTATTTCCTTTCCATGCTTATGGCAATGAGTGAACCTGTTCTGGAATTTTATTTTATTTTAATTTTGTTAAATATTTTATTAATTTTCATATAACATATAACAAACAATTTGATCTTACAAATTGTTTCTTCCAAGGTCAATACAATTTAACTTGAAATTTTGATAAAGATAAGTAGTATTAATCTAAACATATACAACAAATAACAAAATACCGACAATGAACACAATATAAAGGGGTGATTACATAAGCCAGCTTATCTTTAAAAGGTTAAGATAACGGTAGTGCTTAAATTGAACATTTCCTTCAAGAATCTCCTCCAGTTTGATTAAAATTGGATACCAACGTTCCAAATAATAAGAAGGAGCTAATGAGGGGTCCCTGCATGCGATTGAGCCTGATATTTTATCTAAAATTAAATGATCTCATATTCTCGTATACCAATCCTTAATTAAGGGTTTTTCTACTGCTTTCCAACAGGCTGCAATTGTTGTCTTGGCTGCTGTAAGGAGTATCATTATCAGGTCTTTCCTAATTTGAGGGATTTTTACATCATGCCAAAAATTCAACAAAATAATTTCTGGTTTCAAAGGAATTTTGTAACCAGTTAGATTTTCAACTTGTGACAATATTTCATGCCAAAATTGACTTATCACTGCACATTCCCACCAACAGTGGTAAAAGGTTCCTAGTGAGCCACATTGTTTCCAACACTTTGGAGATATAGATTTATTTATGCAATTTAATTTTCTAGGTGTCATGTACCACCTCATTAACATCTTGATATTTTGTTCTTGGATATTCAAGGATTTAGTTTTGTACACATAAGAAGACCACACTATCTCCCATTGCTTTTTGGACCACTGAAGATTACAATCTGTTTGCCATGGTATAGTATAAGAAGGTAAGTCTAACATATCGTGCTCTAACAAAAGTTTATAAACCATTGAGATAATACCTTTCCCTATACCACCATCGGTTAATAAAAGTTTTTCAAAGGCTGTCAAGGGTCTTTGCAATTGCTCATGTATTGTGGTCGAAGTGATGAAATGTCGCAATTGCAGATATTCAAACCAAGGTATATTTAGTTTTGCCCTTGCATCAAGTTTATGTTTTTCAAGTATTTGACCTCCAAATTCTAAAGGTGGTGCAATGTTGTGCTGGAGGGAACCATTTTTGGCCTAGAAATGTAGTAGCTATTGAAAAGGGTGGAGTCAGGTGTTCCCTTCTAGTGTCCCAAGTGCGAATTAATGCTTGAATAAATATACTTGCAGGCACTGGCCAACCGATCAGTTTTTGTTGCCCATAAATATTCAAAATATTTATATGGTGCCAAGTATGATTCTTCTATTGGTACCCATTCTATGTGTGATGATGTCTGAAGTATACGCTGCAGTGTGCTTAAAATAGAGGCTTCATAATAAAGTTTGAGATCTGGCATTGATAGGCCACCCATTTGAGATGGTCTACACAGGGTTAAATAAGTAATTCTAGTAGTGCACAAGCCCCAAAGTGTCTCCAGCCACTTTGCCATTTACGGAATGTAGTGTTAGGGATCCATAATGGAAGCGTCCGAAAAAAATATAGAAACTTAGGAAAAATAAAAGATTTTAGAATCTTGATTTTCGCCAACCATGTCAATGAAAGAGAATTCCACTTCCGGTCTATGGAACAGCGATGGCGGACGCTCTTCCCACAGCGGGGAAGGGCGGTTCACATGCCAGCGGCCTGGAGGGGTGCCACCTCAAGTGACACCCCCGCGGAGCCCTTGAGGGTGGTAGCAGCAAAAAAACAGGTTGGAGGACTGCACAAAAAAGAGCTGCGGGGCCACATGTGGCCCACAGGTTGGTGACCCCTGTTTTAAGATGTTTCCTGTTGCACAGTTTTTAAAAAGTTTTTATAAACCCTAATGAACTCAGTGGGACTTACATTGGTATACACATGATTAGGATTGTGATGCAATTCAGTTTGTCTTTCAAAGGCATGCAGACTATTTTCAGAATCAAATAACCCAGCATACATATTATTTAAGTAGACTGCTATTTGCAGTGTGTGGTTTTAAAGAATATTTTCACAATGATTGGGGCAGTAAGAGACAGGGAAAACAGGCATGGGCTGAGAGGAGGGAGAGAGGGAACCATACAAAACTGAGGCTGCAATCCTATGCACACTTACTTGGGAAGCTCCAATGAACATAGTGCGACTAACTTCTGAGTTGTCATGCATATGGCTGCACTGCACGCAGTGTAACTGATAACTCTGTTTGGCTGAGCTTTCAGGAGATAATTCCCATGCATTTTAACAACCCTGATAGGTAGGAACATAATTTTTTTAAAAAAATTAAGACCTGAGCTCCTCAGTAAATTTTGTTGTATGTAGTTAGGTCAAATGAAAAACAAACAGCCCTGTAAGGAAGAGAACTGTGCAGACATTAACTACATCATACTGTGTTCTTCCAGTCATCACACCCCAGCCTCTTACCACCAGACAGAGATAAGAAAGGAGGTTATGACAAGCAAAGGAAGAAGAAAATCTGTGGGTGCCATTGCAAACTATGGGGATAGGGTGATGGCTTTAAAACACTTTGCCAAAGGAACAAAGCCTGATCAGGGATAACATGAAAGTTGGTGCATTATGTATCAGTGTTACAGAACACTGGGTTATTTGCAGTCTTTTACATGTTTCCTCAGAAATAAGCCCTTTTTTGTTCAATGAGGTTTTACTGTCAGGTAAAAGGGGCTGCGGTGGCTCAGTGGTTAAGATGCTGAACTGCAGACCGGGAGGTTAGTAGTTCAGTAGTTCAAGACCCGAGTACTGCATAACGGAGTGAGCTCCCCATCTTTGGTCCCAGCTCCTGCCAACCTAGCAGTTCAAAAGCAAGAAATTGCAAGTAGACAAATAAGTACCACTTCAATGGGAAGGTAACAGCATTCCGTGCGCCTCGGCATTTAGTCATGCCGGCCACATGACCATAGAAACATCTTCGGACAGCGCTGGCTCTTTGGCTTGGAAACGGAGATGAGCACCGCCCCCCTAGAGTCGGATATGACTGGCTTTTGAGCAAGGGAAACCTTTATCTTTTACCTAAAAGGTGCACAGCATTTGAGCCTTAACGTAGCAAATAACTGTTGCCAGCAAGGCAACTACCAAGTTGCAAGAGACCAGGCAGCAAAAGAGTGTTTCTCTCTGGCATCTGAATAATCCAGAGTGAATCAAATGCAACAGTCTCAAGGCAGATGCCATCTCCAGCTGCTACAGAAAGCCGAAGGGAGGAGAAGGTGCCACTAGACTAGCCCACTTGCAGGCAGCCATTTGCCAGCATATTACAGTGCCACTCTAAACCTTGGTGTGGCATCTTTTTCCTCTCACTGAAAAACACACACACGCCAAAGCACAAGGTCAATACCAGGGTGTGGTGTCCTCTTATTTGGGGAGGACTGGTTTTCACTTTAAATTATACTTGGTGTTCACAAACAGGGTAGTTTCTGCTGTCACCAGGAATTTAAACAAATTCCAAATCTTCTCTCATTAGCTATTGTTGGTAATGTGACCCAGAGTCTAGGCTTTTCAGGGATCTATGTGGTCCTGAGGAAAGATAGAACTGAATTCTGGGATAAACGTGATTTATTGAAATAAGAACAAAATATGAGGCTGTTTTATCTGTAACTGTTTGGGAATAAGGGACTTGTAAATATGTCTGGCAAATGTATAGGGTTGCCAAATGTGGATCGTCCGGGAGCGGGGGGCTCCCGGACGATCCCGGGTGTTTGCGCGCGCGCACAGCGTGCACGTCACCCGGAAGTGACGTCGCACGCTGGGGGCGGGGCCACGCGATTTGAGGGGAAAACAAAGAGTTTTCTTTGTTTTCCCCTCAAATCGCGTGGC